AAATCTTTTACCAGCACACTGTGATTAACTCGACCACCTGCGGAGCCGCAGAGAAACGTCTGAAGCAGCAGTCTGCTTTTATTTTGAAAACAGTAATGAGAGCAACTCACACTTCACTGTGAGCAGCTTGACGTCGGTGTTTCCCTCTGAGGTTTGAAGCCTGACCTGGTCCCAGTCTCTTTCCTCTGCACTCAGCCGAGCATCCTGAGCTCTCTGCTGCTGCTGCTGCTGCTGCTGCTGCTCACTGGGACTTTTAAACTCACAACCTGGAGCTGAGCTGACCCAGAAATACACCACTGAAGAAGAGTTTTTTCTACAACAGGTGAGTTATGTACTTTCTTTTACTGTTTGGTTTTGTTTGGGCAACTTTAATGGAGAAATGTAGAAGTTATGAGGGGGATTATATTCATCTGATAGATTTTTCTAAAATCATCTTTTCACATTATTTATAACCTTGTGGTTTTATTGTTTAACATCCAACATTTTGAAGATTTATCTAAATAAGCTGGATAGAGGTTCAGATGAGTTTAAACTCCACTGTACTCCCCTGAGGTCACCTGTGGATTCATATTCCATCCCCTCTTTGTGTTCCTCATGAATTTTCTTTTCTAAAAGATTAACAATATTTAAAATGGAAATTAATGGACTGTATTCATGTTTTTTTTATCTATGTATATCTGTATAATATTTGAACCCTGAAAAAAACAAAATAGGTTATAAAACAGACAGAAATACATTTGACAATACATTAAATAAACTAAACTAAATAAACCAAACTGAAAACCATACATTTTAGTTGATTCTAGACAAAACAACATGCCAAAATTATATCTGAAACGTGATATTATGGAATATTTTTTGGTCTTCCACAACAGATAAAGCACCAGTAAGTCAATATAACTCATCATTGAGTACTACAGACTCTTACACTGAAGTTGACAGCTGAAAAGTTGCTGAAAGTACCGCAGGAAGGAAATCTATAGAATATAACTACAACAGGTCAGCAACATATTTTACATCCTTGTAAGACTCTTCTAGGAATGTGATAGTGACTTCTTTCCATTAATGAGATGTGTCTACATTGTAAATGATCATACTGATTGATCATATGAGATATGCGCCTCATGTAGTGAAGTCAAAAAGAGATGATGAGGTGAGGATCAAAGCCCTGTCATGGCCACACCTTTGGCCTTCAGCCCCTCCCATCATGTCTCACAGTTTTCCGAGTCTCCTTGCTGAATGTTGGCAGTGTTGCGATGTGATGGAAAGGCATGGCTCTGGGCTGTCTACATAGGCCCTGTTGTTGTCAGAGCTGCCATAATACCAGCTTCAGGGGGAACAGATCTGGTCTTATGGGCCCTGGTCTCTCTGGGAGTGGACCTCGGCAGCAGCTGAATGAGCTCAGTGTGGAACTGGCCACCAGCACGGCTCACACACAACTCAGCTGCTAATGAACTGTCACTTAGTCCAAACACCACAGCTCAGTCCTGAGGAGACACTCCCTGCAGGTTTCAAACACTCTGAAAAGTGTTTAAAGAGAGCAAAACCCTTTTCTGACAGATAAAACTGCATTTTGAAATTGAGTGTGGTTCCAGAAGAAGCTGGAAACAGACGTTCAGTTCGAGATTATATTATAACCAGTTCAAGTTCAAGTCAGATTTATTGTCATTGTTCTAAACTTTGAACTGAACTAAACTTTAGGTATCAAAAGTAGAAGTACTCATAATGCAAATTCAGAATGTTATAATTCTTTATATTTTATTGGAAATAACATGTAAGCAGAAATTTGTTGTCAAGGTATCTAATTTTATCTGTTTTACATGTATAATTCTGATCTGATAAGTAACTAATAACTATAGCACTGAAATAATAAGGTTAAACGTATAATATTATCACATATGCACTGGTCGCTATAATACTAAATAAAAAATGTGGACCTATACTACAATATTTGTTTAATAAAGAGCAGGTCATCCATTAATCACCCGGTTTTTCCTTTATATTTAATTTTCATCTGTTGTCCCTGGCCACATGTTAACGAGGCACCATGAAAATTAGAAATAGACAACACATCTAATAAAATTCCTGTAAACAACATAATGAATATGCACAACACATTATAAAGTGTTAGTAAGCTACAATCAAAGAAGCACTTGAGTTTTGATTCCTGCATGTTGAAATTCTCAAGTTCCTTTAATAAAATCTTCCAGCTGTGATTTCCACATCATAAAATCAGCCTCAGATGTTACATAAACTCTGTTTATGTAAGTGAACTCAGGTGATGTGAGGGGCATTCACCCTCCACTGCATCTCGGGCAATAAGTGGGCAATTTGTTCAGGTTGTAGAAACTGTGTTGGATTTCTGCTGAGATAAGTTAGCAGGAGCTTGTTGAATCTGTGGTGAGAGTCGGAGCTGCTTCCCTACCAGACCACAAGCCCTGAGAGATTGTCCAAGAGTTTCTGTGCTGTGTATTCTTTTCTTTGTGAGGCTGTTGTCCTTGGAGTGTGTGTCATTTTGTCTTATCTTCTTCAGTTCACAGAAGGAATTTCTGTATCTGTGTTTTTCTGTGATTTCTGTGTTCTTCTCGCTGGTTTGAAGTGGGCAGGTTGTTTTCTTATGTTGCCAGAACTGTCAATCAATCTGATCAAACCACACCCACAAAGTCCTGATGAAGCAGATTAGTTTTTGACTTCCAAACTCTTTGGCTAATTAAGTCGAGAATTTTTTTCTGTGAATCTAACGTGAAATATTATTTATACATTAACAGCAGTTAAATTAATTGATTATTAAAGTTAATTAAGAGTTAAAGAGCAATTTAAAACACCTCAATGAAGCCTCAAAATTACAGTTGAACCCTGTCACAAAGAACTAAGGACCGGGATCAATTTATAGTAGGGTCGGAGGGAAACTTTAAAAATGGAATCAGTAATTTAATCCAAGTATCACCATATTAAAGCAACGAGACTTGGATTACCTCAACACAAAATATGTAAATTAAAAACAAGAGAAAACAATGATCATTAAGAAGTCAACAGAACAATTTAACCATGGAAACAGACAAAAATGGAAAATGGAAAGATCTTTTAAATCAAATCTGAAATGTGTCCTCTGCTCAGTATTTTAAAAGAAAAACAGATTAATTTTAAAATTGTAATCCTGCTAAATAATTCAAAATAATTCAAATCAAATCAAATCTTCTCTCATATTTTATTGTGTAACTGTGGTGGATTACAGTTACTCCCCAAACCTGGTGTAATAATGTGACTGTACATGTAATTTACTAACTCAAAAAAGTGTTTCTTTTAATAAATTACACCTTAAAAATCTCAGTTAATCTGCTTCATCGGGATCAGGAATCAGATTTGATTGAGAGTGATAAAACCACCCAGCAACTGTCATCAGATTCTGATTCAAATGAAGCTAAATCCTGATTGGTCCACAGAAGTATGTGACCTCACCTTTTTTCAACTGAGCTCACACAAATGCAGTGTGTTCTTGAAGGACCTCCTGCATTTATCATTTTACTTCAGTGTAAAAGTTCCTCAAAGTCTGCTCAATATTGAACATACACAGTAGAAATCCTCAAAGACATGCAGTAGTTCACACATATAGACTCTCACATACATGGTGTCGTACCACACAGGCAGGGGTGAAACAAGATGGCAATAAACAGTACATAATACTACACAGAAGTACAAGAATTCATATAAGAAAGTGATCACAGTAAGTTAGTACTTAATAAGTTAGGTTGTTCACATGTTTAGCAGTGAATTATTTTGTGTTACTGTGCTGAGACATGTTTGATGATGTGTGTGTGACGTCAGCTCTGATCCACGTGCACATGGATAGGAACAAATATACAAACTGAATTTAGGAAAAGTCTCAGTCTTTCACTGTAGGAGGAGGGAGGAGCAGGAAGTGTTACTCAGGTGGAATAACGGCAAATATTTACTTTTGAAAAGAACTGGAGCTCCTTGTTTTTCAGTGAGAAAATAAGAGGCGGTTGTTAGAGAGAGACCGGCACATGAACATTACAGAGATGTGTGGTTGTTAGTTATTCCATTAGGGAAATGTACAGTTGCTGTGTCGCTTTAGTGGAGGAAAACTGGAATCATGTCTGTTTGGGAATGTTTGACACACTGAAGGTGGAGGTGTGGACTAACCACAAAAAGAAAACTTTAACATAATTACTCATAGTTTTATTCGGATTTGAGTGTTATTACTTCAAAGGTGTGACCCTCCCTCTCCAGACCTGACATAACAGACATCACTGGACACTCAGCATTATGTCTTTTTTGTATGAATGGATGTAACTTTATGGCAGGATTTTAATGTGTTCATTGTTCAGTATTTGTAGAGAGAAAGAGAAATTTCTCTGTGGAACCTTTTGTAAGTAAAATGTTTAATTTGGAATGCCCTGAACACTCACCTGGTAGAGCTGGCGTCCCACGTACCAAGGTTGCGTCCTTGCTGCGGCAGCCATGGGTTCGACTGCGACCTGTGGCCCTTCACTGCGTGTCATCCCCTCCTCCCCGTGCAAAATAATATATATGTATATAAAAAGTTTAATTTCTTAGGAAATAGACATTTCCACATTTGTTTGCACTACTGTTGAACTCAGTGGGACAAGATTTCTTTGAAATTTGGTGAAAAGTTCAGTCTGGTCACTGTTTAGGAACAAGTTACTGTTTCATAATTTTTGGACTCAGTTGAAGGGGAACTTATTTTAATAAACATATTTTAATTAATTTGTCAAAACAGAAATAGAATTAAAATCAAACTGAGAACTTTTACAACCCATCATCAGCAATGAGGTGATGACAATGCACATCTGAGTGGTTGAATATAAGGCCTGTAGGCAAATGTAGTTTAATTAAATTAAAAATAATTTTCCTTTTTATATTTCAGGTAAAATATGATAAGGTGGATTGTGTTGCTGTCTGTGTGTCTACATGACGTCTCAGCGTTGTTTGATTACATTTATGAAGAACACTCCTTTATGGGTAAGAACACACATTTAAAGTACATATGACAATAATATGAATTTATTAGATACAGGTGGATAAAGATCAAGTGTGTTGAAATGTCAGTCTTCTTCAGAGTGCATTCAGACCTTCCTGCTGTTCTTCTTCACAGACCCGGAGGATGTGCTCAGTGTAAGCATTCCTCTGGAGGAGCCACAGCGCCCTCTACTGGGAGGAACCTTGCTTCTACCGTGTTACTTTAAGGTGTGTAATTATGAGCTTTTACTAAGTTTGTATTAAATACGAACATGTTTTCCACTGCTTCGATACAGAATATTCACAAAGAATTTGTTTTTCTCATATGCTCAGATGAAGCCACCGTAAACATAATTTAAATATTCACTAATCAATTTGAAACATATAAGCTATGTCTTATATTAGCACTGAATCAACTGTGAAAGTGGTTGTTCTTAGTGACAAATCCACAGAGAATTATCACCCAACTCTGCAGCTCTGTTGGGCTTTTTAGCCTCTTTTAGCGGCTCTTTAGCTTATTGTTTGAGTCAAACATCCAGCAGCTAAAGAGTAAGATGTTTAATTAGGAGATGGTGGAGAACAACACAGAGCTAAAAGGTTTATGAATTTTGGATTTAAATATATCAGGTGGACAAAAACACGACAGCAAATAGATACAAATGTTGCCGTCTGCTCAAAATCAAAGAGGTTTTAATTGTGTACTGAGCACCTGCAGAAGTTATAATACATTTGGATTTAGATTGTTGTGTTTATAATGAATAAATCCAAGAGACAAATTGGTGGTGAATGATGTTGTTGTTTCATGTAGGACCACACTGTCCCAGACCCAGGAGCTCCCACCGTCGCTCCCCTTTCTCATCGTATAAAATGGAGCCTCGTCACCAAAGAAAAGGTCACCACTATCCTGGTGGCCTTGGAGGGACAGGTGCGTATCAGCGAGCGCTACCTGGACAGAGTTCATCTGGTGGGCTACCCCAAGACTCCTACAGATGCTAGCATCAAGATATCTGAACTGCGGTCCAGTGACTCAGGGGTCTACCGCTGTGAGGTTCAGCACGGCATTGAGGACAACCACGACATTGTCCATGTGCAGGTTCAAGGTGAGCTGTGTCACATAATGTCAGTGAGGTAAATGTGGTTGTTTCAACAGATCTGATTATCCAGGACAAACGTTATGTTTTCTGGGTGCTTCTAGTTTGGCTGTATTGATCTTACAATTAATCTAACAGTACTTTTTTTATCTCTCTAGGTCTGGTGTTCCACTACCGGGCCATCATGGGCCGCTACACTCTGACTTTTGAAAAGGCGAAGGCAGTTTGCACCCAGAACAGTGCTGTCATGGCTTCACCCGAACAGCTTCAAGCAGCCTTCGATGAAGGATTCCACCAGTGTGACGCTGGCTGGCTCTCTGACCAGACAGTCAGGTCGGTTTGTCACATGACAGGAAACAACTATCTACTAAACCCTGTTTAACACAGTGGATAGAGCAACATCACATAAACACATTCAGGGTTAACTTGACTCCCAAACAGGGAAGATCATGTGCTACTAATAGCAAAAAACACCTTATACTGTATAAAAGTGTCTAACAAATAGATAGCAAAGTATACTTATTGGTAGTTTTGCATGTTTTAACTACAAATCATGCAACATAATTTTATTGCTAAACACTTTCCAAAGGATACCATTCATTTTCCATAAGGAAGCCCTTGTCTTGCATTAGCTTAAATAATTAATTGCAAAGCTTCAAGACTTGCTTTACATTCTATGGTGTAAAATCTGTCTAGATTATATTTTTGTCCAAGTTAACAGACCATTTTGAAAATACAAAGATCCAACATCTGAGAATTGATATTCAGCAGGGCGTCACTGACAAATTCAAAGCCAGAGGACAAACAAACAAACAAACACACAAACAAACAAACAGGGAGAAGGAGAAGGTGAATTTGACTGTTTTAAAATTGCGGTTCATTGATGTTAGATCAGTGTGTGCTTCACAGGGACGCTCAGAACAGGAAGTGTTTTCAAAATCGTCCCTGTTTACACTCTAATCTTGACATTGAAGACAAACAGCGTTTCATTTTGAAGACACCTAAGGTTATTTTTATTCAAACAAAGGTACCCAATCCATGATCCTCGTGTGAACTGCTATGGTGACAAAGAGGAACTGCCTGGGGTCAGGACATACGGAGTGAGAGACCTCAATGAGACTTACGATGTCTACTGCTTCACTGAGAAGATGACAGGTACATGCAGGGAATGCTGGAAATGTCTCTATTTGTAGTTCTAAACTCATTCTTTCATTATTTCACTCTTTGACTGAATCTCTCCTATCTGATACAGGCAGAGTTTTCTACACCGCTTCTGCAGAAAAGTTCACCTTCTCTGAAGCAGCGGCTGCTTGCTCTAATCGGGGAGCTCAGTTGGCCACCACTGGTCACCTCTACCTGGCCTGGCAGGGTGGTATGGATGTCTGTAACGCCGGCTGGCTGGGAGACAGGAGCGTCCGCTACCCCATCAACATTCGTCGGCCACAGTGTGGAGGGGGTCTGCTGGGGGTGCGAACTGTTTACCTGCACACAAACCAGACGGGATACCCGCTTCCTGAGTCCCGCTATGACGCCTTCTGCTACACAGGTAGGCCAACATTTCAAGACAAGTGGATAGTGGAGTGGAGCTTTGTGCTACTTGTTATCATATACACCAATACTGTACATGTAGACAAAGCAATTAAGTATCAGAATTAATGGTTCAAGTTCAATGTTCATTAAAATGCCTACTCTGTAGTTCCTCTCAGCTCTATAGACTTTGAGCTCATTGTTTTGGTGTACTGGTTTGGTTCAGTCTCACCGCTCTCATCGATGTTGTTTCCAGCATCAGTCAGCAACTGTTTTCAGTGACAAACTGCTCTCTGTCCAGCACCAAACAAGCAGCAACCAGATGCTGTTAGAGAGTAGCTGGTGAACATAGTGGAG